AAAAAAAAAAAAAAAAAAAAAAAAAGATAAATGGAAATAGCAACAAACGATTATCTAAATCCTTATATATGAATAAATGTAATAATAGAATGTGCAATTATTATGATGTGTTTTCATCATTGTTAATCAGGGATATCTGGCTGAGAAAAAATAGTATATCAAATGCCCAAAAATTTGAAGGTCTGTGTACCTACGTTCAAAAAATTATAAATTCCTATAAATGCTTGCATTTAAGAAGAATCGTTCAAGACAGTTTATAAAAGATCGCGAATTCCTCAACGTATTTTGATCATACCATCGTGGAATTTAAGAACAAATACCTAAATTGTAACTTCTCCCAAACAATTTTACGCATTTTTTAAAATTATCGTGCGACCGGGCATTAATCGAACAGGCAATACTACAAACGAAGAATATCCTACGTGGAAGAATGAATCCCGAAAGCTTGAAAGATCTTGTTTTTAAAACCGGGTTTGTTAGGACTAGCGTCGTTGTGGCCAGACTGTCCTTCATGTAGCGCCCTTTGTACCAGCGGCAGCGAGCCCTGTGATTGTGTGTTGTGTCGCCAATTCATCATAACGGGCCGGATAACGAAAAAAGAACAAAAAGAAAGAAGAAAAGGATAGTAGACGGACTAATCGTGTGCTACAACATGCAGTGCAACTAAAATATTTTTTTCTTATATCCGACACAACTTACCTCGTCATGTTGCTCGTGTTCGCTATTAGCTAAACTGGATCGCGAGCCGCGTCTCGTCGATCCTTTCTCTTCTCCTAAAAGCTGCGCAACTTTTCCTTGCTTCACGAACTCCAATGTCTGCTTCAAATTAGATGAAACAATTTAAGTAACAAATGCTTATAATCTCCTTGATTAAAATAATTTGTACGATAGAGATTTCCATTTAATAATTTAATAATTTCAGAGAGTGCAACATAATTCAATTAATTGGTGTTTATATCTTAAAAATTTTTTCTTACATTCTATATCATTTTTTCAATTTCCTTTACTGTGCTATTTATACTATTACCTATACAGTAAAAGAGAATATTTATATCAAATAGGTTCAACGATGAATAATTATTGAACTTACCTCTTTTCGTGACCTAAGAGCACAATCTTCTAATGTTTCTGCAGCCTCGTATTTTCCTTGTCTTCGATATAATGCACCAAGATTTTTTAAGGTAGTTGTAACTGTAGGAGAATCCACTTTAGCAGCTTTATGCCAGCCTCCGTATTCTCCATATGGAGTATTCTCTTTATTTCTATGCTTATTTTCTTCTCTTTCTTCCGCAACCTGAAACAAGAAATTTTTCATATCAAATATCACCAAATATTTATATCTTGCATATCATTTTTTTAAAATTGAAAGCATTCTTCTACCTGCCAAATTGGTTTATTATCGCCGGCAATAGCACCAAATTCTTTTTCGTGTGCTCTAGTCAATACTTGTTTATACAAAACTTCAGCATCCTTGTATTTTCCTTGCTTCAAGTAACACGATGCCAGATTATTTTTCGTCTTTGCAACATTAGGATCATCCGGTCCCAGTTTACCTTCATAAATTTCTAGCGCTCGCAAGTAATAGCGTTCTACCTCTTCGTATTTACCCTGATTCTGACACAGCAACGCAAGATTGTTCAATTGCTTCGCGACATCAGGATGATCACGACCGAGAACCTTTTCTCGAATATCGAGAGCACGTTTGCACAACGGCTCAGCCTCCTTATATTTGCCCCGTTTTCCATATAAAACAGCCAAATTATTCAACGTAGCAGCGACTGCAGGGTGATTTTCACCAAGCGTCTTTTCACGAATAGCCAAGGCATCGTTCAACAAATTTGCCGCTTCTTTATATTTATTTTGATCTCTATATACTAAAGCAAGAATGTTCAACATTGTGGCAACATCAGGATGATCGTGACCAGAAGTTTTTTCCAAATCCTCCAATGCTTGCTTGCATAAGGGAACAGCTACTTCATAGCGGCCTTGGCTCGCGTACTGTATAACCAAATTGTGCAGCGTACGCAAACGTGCAGGTATCTCGTATCCAGCATTCACTTGTTGTGCAAATTGTGAAGGCGGTGTCGGTGATATTGCTGCAATAATAATGGCGAACATAGAAAAAAGTGGCCCTTATCGGTAGTTTAAGCCTGTGTGAATAGGAAATTTTACTAAAATATTCTTCAATAATAATGTCTTGAAATTTATCATAAATTTTATCAGAATTTTTTGGTTGAAATATATTTAAATCTAGAGAGAAAGAAAACAGTTTTAGTAAAATCTCTTTTATTATATCACACAGACTTAAGAAAAAATTCAAGCATCTATAAAAGATGCTTGTTAATAAAGAAAGAAAGTGAACGTACACTTACTATTTCGGTCGTCCGCATCATCATCGGGGAATAGATCAACTACAGGATCATCTGGCGGTCTGTCTTTAGCATTCTCATCATCCGCGGAAGGATCAGGATCGTACTGCTTCATGCTTTCCATAAAATCTAAATGTTTCTTTTGTTCTTCCAACTGGACTAGCTAGTGAAGTGATAAATACTTCAATTTCTCAAATTATTTCTTTATAATAAATTCTATTATGATAAATTTTATGTAATTTGATTACTTACTGCTTGTTCACTGGCTTGCAATTTTTGCTGTGTACCAGCCAATTCATCTCTTAACCAGGCATTTTCTTGGCACAACCTTCTTACTTGTGTTCTAAGCTTTTGTTTCTCAGCCTCTACCATTTGTAAGTGATTTGCAAGAGCCATCATAACTTGTGCCTCCCCAAGGCCTAATTCTATCATCTCAATATTCTTTGATAATAAACTAGCTTTGTCTCTTGCGACTGGCGCATCCTGGGTCTGCAAAGCCTGAAGAAGTCCTCCATGTTCTACACGGAGAGCTTCCAGACCCTGGGCCACAATTCTGGCACCAGCCATAATTTCTTCCTGCGTCATGGCCGTCATTCTACCAATATTTTCTATTTTTTTGCTAAAAATTAAGAAAAAAACAATTATAATAGAAATTCGATTCATATAAAAACATCATAATAATGTTTTCTTATTTTAAATAATAATTCAATTCATATTAACGTATTGTCTTTTAATCAAAAGATATAAAATTGAATGTAAAATTTTTATAATAATTTATATTAACTATTAATTATAATATAATTCTCACAATGATAATAAGTAATGATAATAAGGCTACATTTCTGTAGTGCAGATTTCTGTAGTCGTAACTAAGCAGAAAGCATAAGGAAAAAGGTAAAACAGAGGTAAGCGGTATTTAGAACGACTTGCTTTACGCGCCAATAATTAACTGCAATCAAAAATAGGCATCGCGAAGTATTTCAGTCGAAGCAAGCAGAACGTATCCGGCATTCGTACGTAAGAAGAACATTTTCGAACCTAAACCAATTAGAATGAATTTTGTTTTTATATAAATATATAATCTTGGTGATCCAATCGTCGAATATAACTATCTACAAGCTTTTGGAATATTCCAATACCAATTATCATAAAATTAATTCGAATAAAAACTTACCCCATGTCAGGGCCACGTTAAATCCACAGAAATCAATGGTTTAGTATATATGCGCAGGCGCAATTGCAGCGGCGCTTTTTGTATGCGACACGACGCACCAAATAAAAGTCAATTTCCAAGACAGAAGAGCTAGTAAAACTTTTACGTGTCGCAAAGATGATTAACTTTGCTCGTAAGAAGGATCAACTAACGACACGAAATACAAAAATCATTCGAGACAAACTTATTTAATGGAAAACTTACCCCATGTCACGACCGCGTTAAAACCCAAGCGAAATCAATCGCTCAGTAATACTGCGCAAGCGCAAACACCATGGCGTATTCTTTTATGCGACAGAACGTATATAGGTATATAGAAGAAGATAGTAAAATTTCGAGAGAAAAGAGCAAAAATTCCCGACGCCTTGCGCAATCGATAAAACGACCGGAAGTATAGATACATGAAAAGATACAAGGACGTACCAGGTCAAGATTTCAAAGTTTTACACCTGTAAACCTTGACCTCGTATAATCTTCTTTCTAAACAAGCCTTGACCTTACAATACTGAAATACTGCATAGTTTTAACAAACAGATTTGAGCAAGATTTTATACTTTCATCTTTGATATTAATTATCAGAACTGATTTTTCCAAAAGTTATTACTTAACAGGATAGTAAACACGCAAGAAGAAACCAACACCTTTATAAATTAAATTTTTGATTGACAGACAATGAAGAATAATGACAAGAAAAATAAGAAAGTTTCAGATCAACTTGGATTGATTTCTTATTAAAATTAACATTAATATAGAATATTATTATCGCGTGAAAGTGAATATTGTACTAATAAATAACGAAAAGAGTCACATATAATATAAATTTTTCATATCAGTTTTTTCCTTCATCAATATATTCCGACATCTAATTATATATCTCATTTACGAAAGAAATTGTTTTCATTAATTTGTAAATCTAACCAAAATTTTTTTCGATGCCATATATCCAATTATATTAATGGAAAAATTAAAAAAAAAAAAAAAAATAAAAAGAAAAAAATTATATATGAAGTTTCTAATGAAAGTATATAGCAATTAGAGCTTGGTATGTTTACGTAAAAACGTAGCAACGTAGGAATATTTAATCGAATAATGTTAAAAAAAAAGAAAATTGAAGAAATAGATAATGATCAAAATGAATTGTATAAAAATTTGTAAGTAGGAGAACTACTCACATTCTATAAGCGTTCAGCGTTTTTGACATATCTGTTCTACCCATCGGTAATGTTGGATTCTGTTGAACCTACCTAATCCGTGTACAAAAAAAATTTAACTTTCTACTATATCGATCTGTTTTTCGTTTCTTCGCGAACAGTCGCGACCGTATTGTCACTTTCAGTCAATCGAATTTGTCGTAAAAAAGTCATTTATTCCGTTTTTAATAGTACAAAAATAGAATCTGTACAATATACATATATATATATACACTACAGTGTCCCGCAATGTAATTTCTAAAGGGGGGCACCTCGCGGAATCGCGTTTAATTCTTTACTGAGGACTAACGTTTGGCTTCGCACCCTTTGCACAAAAGACCGACACAACGGGGGCGGAAGAGGGTGGAAAGATTGCGCATGCGCTTCGATTTCATGGGTGTTCCTATAGTTGCACAAAATACATGCAAGGATACCGGTATGTCTATACGAAATATACACGAGAAAATAAATGATGCGTTACTACATTAAGAAAAGCTTCATACTTAGTGTCGTTACGGTCTCATACTATGCAAATAAACGTCAGTCGGTCAGTAGGAATAACCGGAGGGTGCGTAAGGGTACGATGAATGAAGCTCCTAAGAGAAGGGTGTCACGCGTGTATGACACTTAACACTTTAAGAAGACGTGTATCTTTTATAATTTCTTTCACATGAATTCTTTACAAAATAAAATATGCATATTATATAAATTCTAAAAACAGAATTAATTTGAATTTAAATTTAAATTAAATCTTTCTTATTTCTCTCTTTATAACTTTTTTTTTAAATTAATAATTTTAAAATAAGCCGAAAAACAAACATAATTCATGAGATATTAATTTACAACATATAAACATATGCTGATTTAGAAAAATGACGATAGTTATTCTTAAATTAATTACCGCTAAATCGTGTATGTTTTAAAAGTTATCCCAGATCGGTAAAGAATATAAGTACATAGAGTGCTAGTTTTCGCTATCTTTTTCGCTTCAAGGAGAACAAAGACAGACGATAACCGATGACTCACAGCATGACGACAGAACATTACAAGTGCTGTACCATGTGCACGCATTCGTAGAAAAGTTTACTATATGCAACTATGTCTATTTAACACAACATTGCTTTCACAAATTTAATTGGACTAAGCTATAAAGAATATATTAGAGTATTAAATATTTCCAAAATCTTCTTCGTTCTATCGAAACGAATTTTTTTTTTTAACTATGCGCATTATTAAAAATTTTTTTTTATAAAATCTTCATTTACGTGAATAAAGATATAAAAATATATTATATATAATAAAATAGAAAAATATTTACGAAAATAATAATATCACAATTGATTATATAATTTTCGTAAATAATATCTTACGTATTTATGACGTATATAAATCGATAACATTGAGAAAACCACGTGCGTGAGTATTTGATATAAAACAAAATAAACAATATATATATCATAAGTTTAATATAATTATCTTATATTATAAAATATATCTTATATCTTTAAAAAATAAAAACATAGTAATAATTTTTAAAAATACAAAATATAAATTTTATAGCATTAACAACAAAATCTATTTTTATGATATATTTGCTATTTTATATAACATTGTAAATTAAACAAAGAAAACTCAACGAATAAAATTTTGGATGGAATTTTCGAAAGTATGACAGAAAAGGGTCAATGATAGTATGAATAAATATAATAAACTTTTCAATCGCAAATGGTTCTGAATACGTGAAACAATTGAAAATCCATATTAGTAGAGAGTAACGGCTAAATCATTGATTAAAATTCATATCATGTAACAATTGCATATTCGTTTCAAGTTTGCATATAGAATGAATTGTGATGACAATTTATAGAACACTATAATTATATATATTAAAAATACGTTATACAAATTCTTAAAATATTTGAATAAATAATTTAATTATCATTGTAATTTTTTAGAGGTTAGGAATTTGGGATTCATAATAATTGAATATCCATTCATTATTTTTAAACATTTTTAAAGAATATATACTTAAAAATAATTATAAGACAAAAGGATATTTACAAATAAAAATTATTTAATTAGAAAAATTAATATTTTATTTTTATAATCTTATTTCCATTTATTTGAGAAATTGTTTAGCATTGCTTATCTGCATATATGTATTTATATACTAAAATATGCATAACAATATACCTAATAGAATATTAACATCATGAAATTTTTCTTAATAGATAGAATTTTTTTAGCAAATTAGTGAAAATTTAATGAAACGCGCTCCTTTCTAAATGTATTAGAATAGAGGTAATTATCATTCTAATCATCGTCATGGTCACTGATTTTCTGTCATGGTTTCGCAGAATCTTACGGAAATTAAAATGATTTACTTCCGGCTATAATCACGTATCGAAGGTGTGGCAATTTAAAACTGAACGGACCAATTACTCTCCATTTGTATAAGCACGAAGAAAAAGATGTTTAAAAAGTCACGACAATCGAGAACTTACCTTTGTGAACGGTCCACGCAGGAATTCTCGTCTTTTCAGTGTATCATCCCACTTCTTTAAAGATATTTCGATATATACGTTGAAAACGAACCTTTAAGAGAATTTTTTTACAATAAACATATACATTTTTACAAACTTAGCTTGTACAATATTTTATAATTTATACGACAAGTATATAATGATTCGATAGCAAAGATAATGTTGAATCGAACGTTGAAAAAAACGATTTTCACTCACCGGTCTCAGCCACAAATTCACTGTGAAATAATATTCGCGATACGAAAGATTATTGATCGAAGTTTTGTTTAAAAATTGTTTTCACCGATTAAAAGAAACACGAAAAAAGAGACACTAAATTTTATTTCTGCACGTTTGATGACAGAATAAGATGGCGTGAACCGTGCAAGTTAATAAAAGTATGATAACCACATATTCCACGATTCGGATACCGAATAAACAAGTATAGAGTGTAATTTACACTCTTATAATATTAAAGATTTCCGTTAAATTACGTACGAATAAAAAATACGTTCGTTAAAATGAATAAATTGACGACAATATTTCCAGAATGTAAGTCAATCTTCAGTCGATTGTAAAAGCGCGACTGAAGCGACTCTAAGTGATCGCAGCGCCAATCATTGGAATTTTCGAAAACTTAGGCTGATTTCTATGAAATATATCATGTTTTAAAATAAAATATAATATAAACTATCAATATAACAAAATAATTAAATATATTATCATAAATGAAACACAAAATAAATGTAACATTCAATATATTTTTTTGATCGACATTATGAAAATATTAAGATTTTTTTATTATTTTAATGTTATTTTCAATGTATCAATTCTGCTTAAAATAAGATCACAATATATTCTTAATAAATATTTAAAAATATTAAAACTTAAATCAAATTAGTAATAAATAATTGCAATTAAAATTAAATTTCAATAAAAATTACAAAATAAGTAAAAAAAATATTTTATATCATTTTATATTATAAATGTATATAAAATAATGCATTTTATACAGAATTTTTTATTTTTATAAATTAAAACAATTTAAAAATATATTTAATATGTTTATAATAATATCTTTATAAATATGTTTCGTGAAATCATCGTCTTATGTAGTTAAAAATATAATAAAAAAAATTTTATTTTAAAGATTCAGATATATTATGAAAAAAAACGTTAGAAATATATTCAATTTGTATTCTATATCTCTAATTGAATATATTATGTACAAAATATAGATAAAGGTAAGAAATATTAGAAAAATATAAAATAAAAATATAAAATAAAAATAGAGTAAAAATTATGAAATTAGCATCATTTCCAATAATAATTAATAGTCATTAATAAGATAGATAGAATAGATAGAATAGCATATATAATGGAAAGTATAAATAATGGAAAGAATAGCAAATAATAGAAGAATAAAAATAACGTAAAAATTGAAAATCTCTGTGTGCCATCTCTCGAGTGCTTTTAGAAAAGATTCTTTGAAAAGATGTATTTCACACTCAAGAGATGACGCTTATGGTTCATTTTTATTTTCTCTCATCTCTCTCTCTTTATTTTTTGTGTTTCATTTGCGGCACACTAAAAATGGCGTTGATTCTACAATTTTTATCTTATCTTTATTCTTTCTCACTATTTGCTATGCTTAAATAAATTCTATAGTTATTGACGCATGATCACAGATACGCAAGACACAGAATATTAATTGAATGTATTTTCAATTTTTTTCTTCCATTAAATATTTTAAATTTATGTTTTCAATAATTCGTAGTTTTTTATCGCTAAGAATTTTGTTATATCTATAGATTATGAATAATATTCATATAATAATTTATTTATTAGTATTAAATAATCATAATGTTATAACAT